ACGGAGAGAGGAGGCTTCGGGTCCTTGGAGCCTTGGATGGCCTGGTCTGTCTTGCTCCCTGCAGCACACCTTCGTGCCCTCCCCACCCCAGCCTGCTGGCCCGGGACAGACCCTGCTGGCTCCCCAGGCGGCTCCTCTCCTGCACCCTGCCGGCCAGCCCAGCCCTGAGATGACCTCGCAGCCTGCAGGAGCGGGATTGGATTAGGCTGATTGGGTTAGGGCCGGATCTGTCCCGCGCTGCTGTGCTGTCCCAAATGAGATCAGCGGGGAGCAGCGCCCTGCCAGCCCCTGCTCCGGGCCGTGGAGGGGCGGCGCGTTGCTCTTCCCTTTTATTTTGTTTCTTCGGCTCAAATCATGAGTGGCAGGAGACCGGGCAGCTGGCGAGTGAGCCGCAAATGCAATTGAGCGTCGGCCGCAGGCTGGGGAGGGGCAGGGCCAGGGCCGGGCTGGTCACGGCCTCCAGCCACGTGAAGCCTGGGCCCCTGCGGCTACTGACACACACACCAGGACCCGTGGGGGTCTCCGCGTTCAGGATGAGGAGGGCAGGTTGAGGGGCTTTCCCGGCCAGGGCCCTGCTGCGCACAACGCCCTCCTCAGCGGTCCCAGCCAGGCCGTGTGCATCGACCCACCCCTTGCCCTCAGGGCCTTGGCCTTCCTGGGGCTCTCAGTCTGGCACCAGCCATTTCCCGTGGGGCGGGAGTGTCTCCTGCCCGAGCCCCCAGGGCTGTGTCCCAGCCTGGCCCCCCGGGAAGGTGGGGTACACAGATGGGGGGCTCTCGGGACCGCAGCGGAGCCAGGACTTGGACTTGGAGGACAGCTCTGCGCTGGGCAAGCGGCCCGGAGGGACCTCAGCTGGTCACAGCTCACAGGGCTGACCCTGAATAGGCCGTGTGCCCTGGGCTTCAGGCCTCTGAGCCCCACCATGTGGCCGACACCGCTGCAAGCAAGGGGCAGGGGAGGCAGAGGCAGCAGGGTCCCATGTGACAGACAAGTCTCATCTCCCTCTCCATTGTCCTTCGGTGGGCCGAGGATGGAGAGGCACCTCGGGCGTCTGTCGCGCCACTCGAACCCAGGCCAAGCTGTCCTCAGCGGCTCCATCCTCTCCCCATCCTCTTGGGTGTCACCCCTGCAGCTCCAGGCTGTCACCAGCGGTCCCTGGTCCTCCCTCAGGGCCCCTGCCAGCATCTCCTGCACACACAGGACAGGTTTAAGAGACACGTGGCCCAGGCTGGCATCCTGCCTCAGCCTCCCAAGCAGCTGGGACTGTGGATGCGGGCCACCACGCCCAGCTTTGTCCCCACCTGCATCCCCACCTACCTTGACCCCTCAGCGGCCTCCTCTCTCTAGAATGCAAGCCTGATTGTGGCCCCGCTCGGATTACGACCACCATTACTTCTGGGGGGGGGGGCAGGGTCTCTCCCAGCTGTCTCTGAGCCTCGTCTGGAGCCCCCACCTTCCAAGCTCCAAGTGCCCTCCTGCTCCCGGGGGCCCCCAGGTCCTCTGGCACCCTCCACAAGAGTGCAGTCCCCACCTGGCCAGCAACAGAGGGCCATTAGGTCCCCAGCTCGTCCCTGGGGGCCTCCCGCGGGGCACAGGCCTCCGGTGTGGCAAGCCCCTGCAGAGCACAGGCTGGGCCACAATCATCTTTTTTTTTTTTTAGTACCAGGAATCGAACTCAGGGCCTTGTACTTGCCAAGCAAGGCGCTGGGCCGCTGAGCTATGTCCCTGGCCCTACAATTGACTTTATATTCCCAGCTACTGGCCCAGGACCTGAGGCTCGGTGGGTGCTCTTGAATGGCTACAAGAATGTGTCCTGGATGAATGGATGGATGAATGAATGGATGGATGGATGGATGGATGAATGTGTGAACCGGGAGGCAGATGAATGAACGGGTAAATAAAGGAACGGATGTCTCCCAGCCTGCCCCACACAGCTGCCTGACACTCCTGCTCCCGGGTGGGGCCAGCACACCACACACCCTGAGCTGCACAGTACTGGAGCCCCCACCCTGCCAGGGTTGGGAGAGGCTGGGCCCAGGAGCTGCAGGTGGGAATGCTTCACGGCTTGACTCCAGCTGTGCCTCCTGCAGGCCATGGGCCCTGGGCCTGACTTTTCTGAGCCAGCGGATGGAATGAGGCACTGTTGGTGTGACGCAGGAGGGAGGTAAACCCTTACTGTGTACAGTTAGTCGCTCAGGAAACGCGGCATGAACGCACAGGTGGCAGATGCTGCACCCTCCGGGGGGGCAGGGCAGGAAAGAGCGCCGCCGCCCCCTCCTGGGTTTCCAAGCCTGCTCCGCTGCTCCAAGGCAAAGGAACCTTAGCGAAACCGCACAGCGTCTTTCTCAATGCTCAGATTCTTCCTCTGCGTTGTGAGAAGTCAGACCCGGCCCCCGCCCTGGAGGCTGCCCCTGGAGGCTGACGGAATGGGGTTCCACCCCGCCACACAGCCGGAGGACCCCACGTGCCTCCTATTGTACCTGCCCTGCCCCCTCGCCCTCCGAGTGGCCCAGAGTTGTAGGGCAGCTCTGGTGCAGAAGAAGGGACAGAAATGGTCCAGGCTGGGAAGACAGAGACCAGAACTCTGAATGAATTTTTGTTTGTTTTGTTTTTGTCTTTTGGAGATAGGGTCTCGCTATGCAGTTCAGGCTGGCCTTGAGCTCACTTTGTAGCCCAGGCTGGTCTCGAACTCACAAGGATCCTCCTGCCTCAGCCTCCCAAGTGCTGGGATTACAGGTATGCACCACCACACTGGCCAGAACTCTGAATTTGGTGGGTCAGAGTCAGAGGGAGTGGGAAATGTGGGGTTCAGGCACTAAAGGCCCCCCACATCTGGAAGCACGCTCTGGAGACTGGACTTCAAGGACCCCATATATGCTGGCTGAATGCGTATGTAGCAGAGTTCCTCCTGGGAACCAGGGGATGCCGAGAGGAGGGAACCTTATCCTGCCCAGAGCGTCTGTCTGCTCTTGGGACGGGAGCCGGGCCCCAGTGGCCGACGGTGTCCACCTGCCCCCTGGTGGTAAGTCCGGTGTCATGCAGGGGCTGAGCGCTGAGCGTAGCGAAGGCTCCAGGCGGCTGACCAGCGTTCTCCGCCGGGATTCAGAGGGATGGATCTGGCGCGTTTCCTCCACACAGCAGCCTGGAGGGCACCGGGGGACCAGGACCACCCGGGCTTGCCTAGAGGACAGGCTGGGCCAGGCAAAGGAGGGGGCTGGGGGACTCCAGGCTTTCTTCAGATTTCTGCTCCCCCCACACACACCCTGGCTGCGATGGTGGGCGTGGAAAAGAACGTGCCCGAGGTCTCCCAGTGGCCCGGGCTGGTCACGTTACCCCGCAACCCCTGGGGGAGGCCGCAGGGTGGTCCCTAAAGGTGGGGACACAACCTCAGCCCTCAGTGGGACCGCGACGAACCCAGCATCAGGGTTGCTTTGGGCATGAAGGAGGCGGTGCAGCTGCCTGCTGCAAGTTACTGAGCTCCTCTATGCCTCAGTCTCCTACTCTATAAAATGGGAATACTAAGCATGCTTCCTTCCTAGCTTTGCTTCAAGGATGAGCGGTCACATGTGGAGACAGGACAGCGCCCAGCACAGGGTCGCTGGTGGCAGCCGCTACCGTCACGTTATTATGCAGGAATATTATGCTGTGGGAACACAGAGAAGAAAGGTGTTCACGCTGACGGGCCCGGGCCAGAAGCCTCCATGGAGCGGATGAAGAGCAGATGCAGTCCTGGCCCTGTCCAGCTCGGATCCTGCCCTGGGAGCCCAGCCAGAGGGCTCAGAACTGCACCTCCCCTCAGCTCTGGGCCCTTGGCGGGCTTGGCTTCTAGACTGGCAGGGTCCGTCCTCCCGCAAAGAGGAGCCTCGGGGACTGTAGGGAGGGAATTCTGGGCTGGGCACCGCTGTCCAGGCTCGGCCCTTGGGCGCTGGAGGAGGGGAAGTGGGGACCAAGCCAGGCCCCTGGTGTCAGTGCATCACCAAATGGAGCAGCTGTCAGTCGGGGTCACCTGCTGTGTCTGGAGAGACCGCCATGTACTCCGACTGCCGGGTCCCCGTCCTCGGAGTCTGCCCCGCTGCCTCTGCACCCTCCCGCCGCACCTGTTTGCGGCATCCGTGGCTGGGGCTGTGGGCTCGGCCCCGGGTCTCCAAAGACTCAGGGTAAAGGGGACTCAGCCCTGCGTTCGCCCTGGACTCGAGCCCGAGTGCCCGCTTCCAGCCCTCTCCCAGCTGTGCCAGACAAGCGCCCCACCCGGTCCACCACGCTCTGGGACCCTTTCCCAAGTTCCGGGGGCCGTGTGCCCGCCTGGTCCTGCTGGTCCTCAGGGCAAGATCCCTCCCCCAGGGTGACTCTGCGCCCAACGCTCTCGGAAGAGGCCAGTTTGCCCCGTCACCCTCCACCCATCTGTGCCCAACTCCCCGTGCCCTGCCACCAGCAGCTCAGAAGCACTGGGTCCATTTCTCCGGCATCCCGATGGCCCTGCAGGCTTGTAACCCAGGGCCCTCGCCCTCAGCCATGCTGACCCCCAAACCTGAGCGTCCACCAGTCCTGCCCTCAGTCCTGTTGCAGGAGTGGGGTCCCCCATGCCACACTGTCGTCCCTGTCCATCTTCTCCCTTTGGGACAGCTGCCCCCCACCCGGCACCCTGACACGGATCAGCAGGACGAACTACCAGAAGCCATGGTGCCCGGTGTCAGGCAGGGAGCAGCGGGCGCTGTCCCCAGCCCTGGACCCCGCCATGGTCAGTGCCGGGCAGGGAAGGGTAGCTGCCTCTCCTGGCCAGTGTCCCCAGGGGGAGAGTGCTAGGGAGGGGACTGCCCCATTCCACCGTGAGACTCAACACCAGGGATTTAGAAAGAGGCCCCAAGCCGCAGGGTCCACTGCCCTCAGAGGAGTGCACACCCCATTCGCGGGCAGGAGAGGCCACGGGGAAGGACCCCAAGAGCCTCAGCCCTTCCTGCGGTGACGGCGGGGGTTTGCGGGGGCACTCCTGGAAACCGAACTGGGGAAGGAGAAGCAGAAATGACTTTATTGTCTCAGATTCCCGCCTAAGTCCCAGTCCCAGGACGTCCCCAAGGGCTGCCACCTGCAGGCTCTGCGGGGTCTCCCAGCCACCGTGCGCTCAGAGAAGCGGGACCCTGCTGTCACTTCTCTGTGCTCTTGGAAGGCAAGAAGACAGCGGCCAGGGAGCCCCTGCGTCCCTCCTCCCTGAGCAGAGGGAGAGTCCAGGGCTGTGGAGTGCAGGGGTCTTCAGCGCCCCGGGCCTCTCTGGGGTGTCCGCAGGTCCCGGATGTAAGCTGGGTCCCTCTGCGCTGTGGGCCCCTCCTCCAGGCCCTGCCCAGAGCAGCCTCTGCAGTGCCCCCCAATCTGGCTGCAGGGCTGCTCAGAGGGCTCGGCCACCCAGGGGCCCCCACGCACTGCCGTGCTCCCCCATCTGTGCCACAGAGGCCTTCTGGGCGCTGGGCTGCGGCTGCCTCCTTCTCCTTGGCCCGCCCAGCCAAGGCTCAGCAAAGGCAGGACGACCCCTGCTGCGCCCCCAGACTGGCACCACGCCTGGCACACAGCGGGTCTTGGCAGATGCACACTACGTGCCTCTCCAGTGAGACAGCGACGCCACCTTTGTCTGTCTAAGGTGTCCGGGGGGAGTTGGGAGGACAGTGGAGCTCTGGCCACAGGGACCCAGCTCCCGTGACTTTTCCAGGTCACCTCCGAGGGGCAGGGGCTCGGGGAGCAGGTGCACCCCTACCCCACACCCGCCCTGAGCCTGTCCCGCAGCTCCTCCGTGTGTCCTTCCCGGCCCCACGGGTCTGTCTCCCTCTGCAGAGCTCCCGCTGGGGAGCGAGTGGTTGGGAGGGGAGGCGGCAGGGCGGAAACCCCGAGGGCAGGCGGCCTGGGCTGGGGAGGCTGGGGGGCCGCTGGGCCAGTGGGGGGCCTTATGCAGAGATGGGGCTCTTCTTAGGTCTGGGGAGCCCTTCAGGGTCAGGGGCTGGCCCTTCCTGGAGACCGAGGCCCCTGACCAGCAGCCAGAGCCGAGAGCACCTGCGCAGAAGCACGGGGCCCAGGGAGAGGAGCAGCGTCAGCCACGCCAGGCCCAGGAGGATCCAGAGGACGGCCAGGCTCCGGTACACCGAGACGTAGTACTTGCTGGGGTCCCTGCCTGCCACAGGAGGGACAGCAGGGCTCTGAGGGCACAGCCACCCCCAGGTCCTGCGGGGCCCCATCATCCGGGACCAGCAAGGGCCAGGGGTTGGGAATGGCGATGGCCCTGACCAGAGACTCCTGAGGAGGCCGCTGAGAGCCACTGTCGCCTGGACACACCCCCGCAGCTGTCCCCCAGCCCCGAATCCCAGGGGCCCCACCCGAGACCCGCGCTGGTCTCCTCACCCACAACGTAGTCCCCGAAGCCGATGGTGCTGAGAGTGATGAAGGCGAAGTAGAAGCCCTCGCTGAGGCTCCAGCCCTCCACGTGGCTGAAGGCCACAGGCGGGAGGACCAGGGTGGCCAGGGTGCCCAGGGTCAGGCCCAGGCCCAGGCCGAGGACCTGCGGGAGCTGGGAGGGGGGCAGCCCTCAGTCCTCTTGCAGGCTGCAGTGGAGACGGGAGGTCCGGGACCCCCCGGGGCACAGGGCTGGCACAGCCTGGTCCCTGCCCTGCAGACCTCGGGGTGGGGACTGCGCCCCGGGGCGTGTGACCCGGCCCAGACCACGGAGACGGCAGCAGGCGGAGGGTGTGTTAGTGGGTCGGGGAGGGTCATGCTTGCACAGGCTCCCGGGGGAATCAGATCTGGGACAGGGAGTCACCGAACTGCCCCAGGTTCTGCTGCACCGCTGTGCTCCAAGAGGGCGGGTCCCGGGGGCAGTGGGGTGGCCTGGGGCCGGGTTCTGACCACATGAAAGGACCTCTGAGGAGCCCCGTGATGACCATGGAGACGGAGGCCCAGATTCCCCACCCAGGATGGCAGGCCCGCGGTCAGCTCGTCCATCCTACGTGAGACGCGGCCTCTCCCTGCCAGTCCCGCCTCCGCCCTCTCTCCGCAGGTGTCTCCCCTTCTGTCCTGCGCCCCAAGCTGGCCTGGCCCCTGCTGCGGATCCGCGGCTGCAGGGGCGGGAGGCCCTACCTGGGAGCGCAGGGGCCGCTCCTCCCACCTCTCTCGGGCCGCCAGCTGGGCGCGCAGCCCCGTGCCCAGGCTGTTGAGGAAGACCACGTTGAGCGGGATGCCCACCAGCGCGTAGAAGACACAGAAGACCCGGCCTGCCTCGGTGCTGGGCGCCAGGTTCCCGTACCCTGCGTGCGGGGCGGGGGTGGTTTCAGGGCCCCCTCCCCCACTCTAGCGAGGTTTGTCTTCCACCCCAGCGGCAGGACGGGGCGCGCTCCCGTCCGCGTGAGCACTCGGCCCACGCCCTGCTCCGTGATCTTCGTTACAGAAATCCTGCCCGTGTCTGAAGGCCCCTTGCAAACGACGCGGCCTCCAGGAAGCCCTCCTGACGCACACCCTCCCCGTCCCGCCGGGCAGATTCCGTGCAGCGCTTCGTGCCGCCCTTGTCTCATCACCGCTTCGCCTCACACGGTTGCACTCACGGACCCCCGTTTATTGGACTGGACACTGTCTGGGGCCCAGCCCGGGCCCACCCACGTTCGCGCCCCTCCCCCTTCATCGCGCGGCCCGGGGCGTCGGGAAGCGCTGGGATGGGCGTCCCTGGGCACGGGCGCCTGGGTCACAGAGGGCCTGGGGGTCCCGGGGGGCATGCAGCGGGCTTTCTGGCTGAGGGGCGCAGCAGAGGCGGTGGGTGCTCGGTCCCCTCGGGATGCCAGGATGCCACCTGCCGCTTGGGGACAGCCCCTGCACACAGACGACTGCCCACCGCAAGGCCCGTGTCTCGCTGTCCCCGAGGCAGGTCCAGCGTGCTGGGGAGTCAGCGTCCAGGGCCAGCTCTCGGCAGCCGGGGCCGGCGTGGGCCGACGCGGAGGGCCCCGTCCTCGCCCTCGGCCCGTGCTGAGCTGGGCTCTACCTGTCCCGCGGTCCCCAAGGGCATGCGCCCGGCCACCAGCGGGTGCCCGTGCAACCCGAGCGCTCCCCTCTGCCCATTTCGCCCGCCCGCTCCCACCCGTGCTCCCCGTCTTCCCCGACGAACCCCATCCCATCCCGGCATCTGCTCCGACTGCAGTGGGCCTCGGGAGCCCCCTCGTCCCGCGGTCTCACCTATGGTGGTGACGACCGTGCCCGCAAAGAAGAAGCTGCTGCCGAAGTCCCAGTTGCTGGGGTTGGTGGAGTTGCCTTTGGGGTTCACGCCCTTCACCCAGGCCTCCAAGATGACCTGCGGGGAGGGTGAGGGGGTGTGTGGAGAGCGAGCGATGCTTCTGCGCGCTGCTGAGCCGGCTCTGGGCGGGGTGGCTCACCGCGACCCGCGACCCCGCTCTCAGCATCGTCCCGTTTCACGGGTCAGGAGCCCAAGCTCAGGGAGGCCACGGGGCTCGCGCAAGGTCGTTCACCTCCAGGCCGGGGCGCCTGTACCCCGGGGCGCCTGGCTGGGGGCGGCAGGCGGCTCAAGGGGGCGAGGTGGGCGGTCCAGGAGGAGGCCCGGGTGGAGACGCGGCTGTTGCCAAGGGATGGCACGCGCGTGCGCTAGGACAGAGCGGACTGCAGGTCGGACCTCCCTCGGGAAGGGGTTGCCGGGGTCGTGGGCGGTCAGGGGCCTGAGGGTGGGCAGCTTGCAGGGGAGGAGCTGCCGAGCTCGTCGCCACCCTACGGAGCCCAGCGCCGCCTACCGGAGAAATGCACTCCGGCCGCGCAAGGCTGTGTGCGCATGAGTGCGCGCCGGACCGGGTTCTCTGCGCGCCCAGCACCGCACGCTGCACGTGTTTCCGGAACTGAACTCTCGCTGCCTCGAGCCCACTGTCCTTGGGCCAGGCTTCTTCGAGTATGGGGGTCCCCGTCCTCGCTGCCCCGGCCCTGTCCCCTGTAGCTGTGATGCTGTCGCTCGGTGCAGCGCGGAGGCGGGGAACCGGGGGAGCCCGTACCCCGGTCACCGCGACCTGCTGGCCGGTGAGCCGCTCCCCTACAGTGGTGGCCCCGGGGCACGGACGGCCTGGGGTCCCTGTCACAACGTCCGCCCCAGTCTGGCGGGGCCTGGCTCTTAGG